CTCTTGGGCCATGGACACCCGTCCCTCCTTACACTACTTGATGCCCGGCACTGCATGGGGACTGAGATTTTAAAACCAAACAAAAAAAAAACAAACGCTGCCAAATACAAAGTACATTATCTGCCCCTTGGCTACCAGCTGGGGCTGGAAGACACATACATTGGAGGCAGCAGGGAGCAGGTCACACCGTCTTAGGACTCATCCTCCCAGCCCCTTACCTGCAATGTCTACCTGCCAGCCGGGGAAGTGGTGGAGGGGTTGATGGACCATTAGGTAGCAGCGGACAGTCACGGGCTGTGACCCTTCGGGCATCCTGAGGCGCTCTCTAAGAAAAGGGGGTGCGCTCTGAGGCTGGAAGGTGGGGTCTGGTGTGGCCTGGCGGCTGTGCTGGGACACAGTGCCCTGAGCCTCACTCCGGCCAGCACGCTCCTGCCTTCGGCATCCCGCCTTCCTGCCCACCTGTCTGTCCCACGCTTCCCTCGTCACCACTGGCCAGTCCCCCTGCACCATCTGGTGGGAGCCGGTTTGGTCGGCTTAGCTAGCTCCCCCGGTCCCTCTCCACCAGGTCACCGTGGGGGTCACCGGCAAGCCCATCGATGGACCTCCTTCCGGTCAGATAGCCACCCTGGTCCAGTTAGGAGCTGCTTTTCTGCAAAGAACATGCCGAGGAGAGACTGTGGGCTGGGCAGTCCCAGCCAGAAAAGAACACTGGGTGTGGCAGACACCGCAACCAACATGTCTGAGGGGCTGGGAGAAGGATGAGCTGCTCGCCATGTTCTGGGCATGAGGCTGGGAGGGGCTCCGTCTTCCTGGCTCCCCCCCCCCCCCCCCCCGCGGGGCTCCGGGGCCCTGGGAAGCTCTGAGGGAGCTGTGGGGTGGTTTGCTAGTTTCTTCACACCCACTCTGTCCCTGAGCCTGGGACAGGAAGCAGGCGCTCTGTGGGACGAGCTCTGCAGGGACACCGAGGTGGCCCTGTCCAGGGGGATACTTATGGCCATGGTGGGATCACGCACTCCCACGAGCAAGGGGTTCCCTGAAGGCAGGCTATGGGGGGCTTGCCCCTGTGCGCCCACTGCTTCCCTTCCAGACGCCTTGTAATACCAGAGCAGGTGTGGGGTGGACCCTGGGGTGTGGCAGCAAAGGCTCCACAGCCTCAGGAGAGTCGGGAAGCCACTGGTCGGGTGAGGAGTACCCTGGGTAGGCGTTAAAGAGACAGGTGTCCAGTTCTGGCTCAGCCATAAGACGTGGGAACATGAGTGAGTACATTCCTGGGCCACTCCGTGTCTCACGGTGATTATCTCCACTCCTCCCTGCATCATGGGGCCTGCGGAAGAACTGAGGGTTCTGGATCCCTTGGCCCGGGGGTGGGCTGTCGCTATAAGGAGGGCCATGAGCCTGGGGTGTGCTTCTGCCTAGAGATGGGCTCACAGTGGTCCTCACACTGGGTGTGCTGCCTGGTGCTGAGGCTGCAGGTCCGGGGACCACGCTTGCAGCACGGCTGTCCCAGAGCTGCTGTCAGAAGTGGGATCCACGGACCAGCAGCGCCACCCGCCCTGGAGCCCGGATGCAGCATCTCGGGCCTCATCGACCAACTCCTAGATCTGAGTCTGCATCTCCCACGGGCCTGTGTGCTCCTTGAAGCTTGAGAAGTGCTGCTTCGGGGAGCCAGGAGGAGAACACATGGGGGCGGGGTGGATGCAGAACCGCTCTTCCTCGGCAGATTCTGAGGATGCAACTGAGAGGGGCGGACCTGTCAGGGTGTGAACCAGAGGGGCCTGATGCGGACAGCTGCGGGGAAGACGTGGGAAGGAGAGAGGCCTCTTCCTCGGGGAAGGTGGAGAGAAGAGAGCATTCTGAGGAACAGGGGTGGGCCTCAGGGGAAAGGCTCTATCAGGCAGCGTCATTTTGCCCCCATTTTGCCCTCGGCCAGGCCACGGTATCCTCTGGAAGGCCTTCAGCTGTGGGGAGGGGCTGCACGGGGTCCGAAGCCTACAGCGGGGAGGACAGGAGCTGTGAGGAATGCGAGCGGTGATTACACATCGATTAAACAGTTTGCTGAGCAGCCGCGGGGGCCCGGCTGAGGTGACAAAGCATGAGTCTGCAGGCGACTAAACAAGGCCAGTGTTTTGACTGCCCGCCGTGCTCGGCAATGGAAAAAGCCAGCAGTGCTCAGAGACGCAGGGGCCGTGGCTGGGGTTGTGGAGGGTCAGGAGTTGACTCGCAGGTGGACCCAGCGGAAGGTGCGGGGTGTGGGGGAGTAGAGCAGAAGGAACAGGTTCCCTGTGGGCTGTTCATCTATAAATTTATGAAAAGAGAGGGAGTGGGTGGGGAGAGGAAAATCCCTCCCACCGAAGGCCTAGGCTTTCTGTATTTCTCCCTTAGTGCTTATGAAGAGGCAGAATTGAAGCATTTGGCTTCTCTGAGACGTTACAACCCATTTTATTGGGGGGGAGGGGGGGAGGATCAGGAGGGCCAAGGTTACAAGTGGTGAAGGTGCTATGAGCCCCATTGTTCCTGGCCACACGGCTAAGAAGGGAGGGAGGCGGGGCGAGGGAGTCCGCCCTGCGTCTTCCAACAGCCTGTGCTCATCCTCGGGGTGGGGAGGCCTAGTGCTGGCATCCCCTCGCCCAGCTCAGCCCTTCTCCAGGACCTTCGGAGAAACAGGAACACCAAGTGTGGTGAGGGCCTCTATGCCTAATTAGCCTACAACTCTCCAATCATTCCTTCAAGAAGCGGGAAGAGTGCACGGTATGGCCTCAGCAGGCCTCTGCCGTGGCTGTGCAGTCCTTGGGCTGTTAACTTAACCCCCCCCCCCTTTCCGGGGCCTTCGCTTCCTTCCCACTAAGCTCTGGGAGGGCAGGGACCGTGAGTCGTTTTGGCCGCTCTTTGCACGGAGCCGTGTGCAGGGCACACAGTCAGTTCCCAGGAATTCGTAGAATAAAGGACGTAGAACCTTCTACCCCGCCCTCGCCTTTGGGGTCTTAGGAGCTGTGCTTTGCAGCCCCCTTGTGACCACTTTGCACGAAGTACTACACTGGATTTGCTAGGCGAGTGAGAGGATGAGCTAGGGTTACTGTAACGTGAACAAAATTGCTGGCTCTCCCAGGAAGAAGGCACTGTAGCATGAAAAAACCAAACACACAAGAACCCCTTGATTCCCTTCTATCGCCCCCTCCCTGTCGCGTCCTCCTCTCTTCACCTCTCCGCACACCCGGGAGGCTGCCTGCCGGGCGCTGCCCGCTGGGAAAGTACCGCTCCACGGAGAGGAGTCAGCGTGGGCCGGCAACGTGATTCACCTCCAGCCGATTCTATTTGATTCAGGCTGTTCGTTCTGAGCCTTTTCTCCTTCTAATTCAATGATTATTGGTCTCGATGGCGAGAGGGAAGAGCCTGAGCTGGATCCCTGTGCACCTGTGGAGAGCTGGGGGCGGGATGGGTAAGAGCAGAAGTGTTCCGGTTGACAAAGACCTGGTGCCCGGGTGGACTGGCAGCCCCGCGGGGAGTTCCAGCCCCGGCTGGTGGGGGGTGGGGGAGGCTGTGCTGTGCTGTGCTGTGCAGCCTGGGGACTACGGTCCGGAACTCTGCCTTTCCCGTGTTCTCCATCTGCACACTCGTTAACGAGGCCCATTCCTGACTTGTCTCCAGGGAGAACACGGAGACTTAAGCTTAATTAACCTGCCAGACACGGTTTTGACTCACTGGGCACCGCCAGAGCTGGGGAGAGGCGCCGTGATGAAAACCTACCAGCTCATCTCCCTGTCGTCACTCAGGTTCAAGCCTGTGTGGCACTGACATCTCTTGCTGCAAATTCCCCGAAATATGTTTCTGCCCTGGGCTGGTTTGCCAGATCATTGCGAGTCTGTGGCAGCTCAGCCCCTCAAGCCCGAGGCCCCTTCGTCTTCCTCTCCTTCCCCAACGACATGCTGTGCTGTGCCTCTTCATCCCGTCCTTGGCAGTCACTCCCGAGCCCCCACTGTGACCAGGACAGTACGAGGGCGCGGTGATCACCGCAGGCGGCTGGCTAGCCACCAGGTACCAGGCACTCTATGTCCCTTGTTCTTTTCAGGGACCCACTGGAATGGCAGATGATATTCCCATTTTACAGAGAGTCAAGGTGCCCAGAGTCACAGCTGTGAATGTAGGGGCCAGTGTTAGAATTCAAGCTCAGGCCAGATGTCAAAGCCCAGGCTCTCAGCAAACCACAGCACCTCCCACAGTAAACCAGTTAGTCCACAGCCAGTCCCCAGGCCTTCTCCTTGGCAGCCTTTGCTGGGTGCCGAGGGCTTCCTACACACTATGGTGGGAAGCAGGCCTCCTCTCTCCAGCTCCAGGCACCTTCCCCACGTTCAGGACAGCGCCGTCACCCCCCCCACCCCACCCCCCGATGGTTAATGAGGCAGAGAAAGAAAAGCCCAGGCCCATAAGGTGTATCGCTGTTTGTAGGAATTAGCCTTCCCAGAGGGACTAATACAGCGGTTCTCTCTGGAAGTATAACTAGGAAGACACCACACATGAGTGAGTGAGACACGTTCGGGGCTGAGGCAGCGATGGAGTGGATTCCCTGTGTTCCTTCATTCACTCCCTGTACCCCCAGGCTCTTTACTGCTGACAGCTTGCAGCTCAGGGAGGAAGGAGAGCCCCATTCAGAGCACCAGACCCTTCCTTGGGGTCAGTTTTTTGTTCAAGAAGGCCCTTACCACCTGGGCCACGGTGTGGCCCAATGGTTGAGCATCGACCTATGAACCAGGAAGTTACGGTTTGATTCCCAGTCAGGGCACATGCCCAGGTTGTGGGCTCAGTCCCCAGTAGGGGGTGTGCAGGAGGCAGCCTATCAATGATTCTGTCTCTGATATCAATTACATATCTAGAAGGCCCTCACTTCATGCCATCTTTCTGCCAGATTACACCAAAGGAGCTCCTTCAAGTGTGAGCACCTGGCCGTCCTGTTCAGGTCGAGGCTGGCTCTGAGCGCTTAACGCTCGCTCTCTTCCTTTCCCCAGGTGTTGACTTCAAGATGAAGACCATCGAGGTGGACGGCATCAAAGTGCGCATCCAGATTTGGTGAGTTGGGTGGGAGGAGAGGACCTCGGGCTGCTCCCGGGCTGCCACTGCCACGTGTAAAACCCCGAGGCTTCATCTGGCACAACTGGCCACCTGTTCCATGGAGAGAAACGGAAGTCTCAAAGCCCACCTCCTGCTCCCAGGAGCCTTACCTAATCTTTGATCTCGTCCTACAGAAACTATGGGATTGACCACAAGACCCCAAAAGGCAGAAATGAGAGGAATTGGCCGATGAACCACTGTGGGTTTGCCTTAGAATGAGGCTTTGGGCTGTGCCATTCCTGGTAGGACTGGAAGGAGGAAGGGCTATACCCCACCTATTAGGGTGGGACGCTGGTGAGAGGTCCTCAGTTCAGCATGGTGCAGTTCCCACAAGTAGCCACAGGGGGCCGCTGTGGCTTTGGCCTCCACTCCTGGCCACACTCCCTGCCTTTGCCGGCTGCCTCCCAACTCCAGAGTGGTAGGGGCATTGCCCCCAGAGGATCTGGAGGTGGAGCAGTTCATCCAGTCTGGCCAAATTCTAGAGGGAGTTGTCAAGGCCCACTTGTGGTTGTGGCTTCTGGTGCAGATGTAGTGAACAAGGCCCCTACCCCTGTCAGCGCCAGATGGCCAGGCACCTCTCCGGCAGACTCAGGTCCCCTGAGAGACCAAAGCTCCATTAATTTCCACCCTACCGCTCCCCAGTCTTTCCTGCATAGGCACAGGGTCTCTCGGCTCCTGCTCCTCCCTTCTCACCTGCTCCCAGGGTCCCTGCTCTTCTGAGGGACTGGCTTTCTACTGCAGGGACACCGCGGGGCAGGAGAGATATCAGACCATCACAAAGCAGTACTATCGACGGGCCCAGGTGAGCCACCACTTTCAGGGTTCAGAGGCGGGAAGCTGCCACCCACACGCCCGGCCCTGGGCATTTGAGATATCTGTGCCGCTCACCCCCAAAATAGGGCCCTTGGGCTGCCTGCTGGGGAGGGAGCCCCTAGGTGGTCTTTGAGTTGTTGGTGGACCGTTCATTCATCAGTGATTCACTGAGCACTCACTCTAGGCAGGTCCCCCACCCTCACCCTCCATCTACCCTGGGCTAAAGACCCAGGTCCAAGTATTTGGTGGCTTTCTACCTCAGGGAGTTTTGTGGTGGGTCTAGGAAGCGATAGCATTGGGGGTCTGAGACAGAAGAAGGTATTTTGGGAGCTGAGGAGTCCTTGTTATGCTAAGCAGAGAGCAGGGAGAGTGGGACCCAGCATCTAAGGCACCGCACGGCTTCTGGCCCCATGCCCGTGCGCATCCCCCTCCCCCACCTCTCTCGCTCTCTCCCCCAGGGAATATTTTTAGTCTACGACATTAGCAGCGAGCGCTCTTACCAGCACATCATGAAGTGGGTCAGTGATGTGGATGAGGTAGGAGATGCCACCTCACCACTGGGGTGGGGGAGGGCACCTCCGAGGGGAAGGCGAAGGGAGGGCCCGATGGGAAAGGCCGAAGCTCTCGGGGTTGGCGAGCAGACGCTGCCAGGAAAGCTTGCCCTCCACGGCCCGGGATGAAGACCTCTGGGTAAGTCCTCTGTAGGGAGAAGCCCCAGCTGCCGTGCCCTCCGTGCTCTGTGCCCAGCCAGGATGCCCAGAGTGAGTTAGGTCCGAGCCTACCCCGTGAACAGCTTCTTCCCCGAAATCTCATGGTCCTGGCTCTGCCATGGCAGCTGTGGCGCCCTGGGCAAGCCATTCGAACTCTTTTGCGTCCACAGTTCCTTGTCGGTAGAATGAGGGGTTGGGCTTACAGCCAGTGTCCTTTCCAACTCAGGTACCAGGTGTCCAGCCTCAGGAAGCACTCCATCATTTAGGCTGGGGCGTGGGTGGGAATTAGCCAGTGCTTCCTCTTCACACTATCCCCATGACACTGTCCTCACCCATGCTTCTTGGGGCAGCCTGGCAGCTGCACCCAGCCCGCCCCTCTGCCCCCGGGCTCTGAGGTTTGGCGCTGCTGTGGGGCCAGGGTAGACGTGTGGTGGGGAGACGGGTGGGAAGGCAGCACTCACGGGCGGTCCTGCCTGAACTCTGTCCCCAGTACGCACCAGAAGGCGTCCAGAAAATCCTGATAGGGAACAAGGCCGATGAGGAGCAGAAGCGGCAGGTGGGAAGAGAGCAAGGGCAGCAGGTACGTGGGAGTGAGCTGGCTGGATCCATCCCTGCAGTTTTCTGCTATCTTCCAGACCAGTCCTAAGAGTTGTGACCCGGGATCCTATCACCCCCATCAGGCACCCTCATACCCCAAGGTGCTGGGTGAGCTGCCATCCTTGAGAGCTGGCTTTCTGCCCTTTGGGACAGTGATTTGGGGTCCACCCTGATGCAAAGACCTACTGGGAAGCAACTCTCCCAACTCCAAGTCCTCCAGAGTGAGATGACCTCTGCTCAAGAGCTCATTCCAGTGTTAGTGAGGAGGAAGGAGTTCAAGTTGCTGGCTTGTTCTCCAACAGCACCCAGGCATAGTGCGTTTACAGCCCCCCACCCGCTTCTCACCCCTCCCTATCCTCCTGACACTTGGGAGGAGGTAGGAAGGTACGAAGGGCCCATAGTCAGAGAGGCCCTGGGGGCAGAGAGGGTGGGAGGAGGGCGCTGAGGGGATGCCCACGCATTCAGGGAGACCACCCTCCCAGAGGGCCGAAAGACAGACAGATGCCACTGAGACAAGTCACCCATCCACCTGGAGGGTCTCAAGTGCTTTTCCCCACCTCTTCCATCAATAGCATTCCTCTAGCACTTAAGATGAAATTGATTTTTTTATATTAAAAAATAATGCAGCCTGGCTGGCATGGCTCAGTGGCAGAGCATCAACCTATGAACCAGGAGGTCATAGTTTGATTCCTGGTCAGGGTATATGCCCAGGTTGCAGGCTCAATCCCCAGTGTGGGGCATGCAGGAAGCAGCCAATTAATGATTCTCTCTCATTGTTAATGTTTCTCTCTCTCTTTCCCTTTCCTTCCTCTCTGAAATCAGTATAAAAAATATATTTAAAAAGAAATAAAATAAAATATTTTTAAAAATAATGCCTTGCCTAGCCAGTTTGGCTCAATGGATATAATGTCAGTCTGCAAACTGAAGGGTCCTGGGTTTGATTCCAATCAAGGACTCATGCCTGAATGCAGGCTCAATCCCCAGTATGGAGCATGTAGGAGGCAGTCAGTCAATGATTCTCTCTCATCTCTGATGTATCTTTCCCTCTCCCTCCTCTCTAAAATCAATAAAACTATATTTAACAACAACAATAATAATGCCTACTTATTGAAGAATCTGAGAGTAGAAACAGATGCTGCTGGAATAAGTATTTTTTGAGCCCTGCATGCGCTGAGCCAGTGCTTGGAGGTGCATGACCTCATTTAATCATCCCACAGCCTTGGTTAACAGACGCTGTCATCCATCCCCTTTAACAGATGGCAGAGCCGGGGCTGAGAGAGAATAAGCATCTTGTCATACAGCCGAACAAGGTCACACAGCTGTTAAGAGGCAGCACTGATATTCAAGCCTAGGACTCTTTGCCTCCAATACCCGTGTTTTTCATTAGGCTGCCACTGTTTCCTATTTTGGTGTCTGTTGGGTGTGCATGTGTGTGTGCTAGCCCGTGTCTTAGAAGGAGCTCTTAGCCTCCTCTGAGAAGTCACCTCCTCTGAGAAGTGGTCACCACTCAGGAAGGGTTGTGAGGACAATGGCAGACATTCCTGCAGGGGCCTGGCGCCTCCCTTCCCCCTCCCTGACGCCCTCTCAGGAATGTCCTCTCTTGCAGCTGGCCAAAGAGTACGGCATGGACTTCTACGAAACAAGTGCCTGCACCAACCTCAACATTAAAGAGGTGAGGACGGCCGAAACCAGTTTGGCTCAGTGGATAGAGCGTCGGCCTGTGGACTGAAGGGTCCCAGGTTCGATTCCGGTCAAGGACATGTACCTTGGTTGCGGGCACATCCCCGGTAGGAAGTGTGCAAGAGGCAGTTGGTCGATGTTTCTCTCTCATTGATGTTGCTAACTCTCTATCACTCTCTGTAAAAAAAAAAAAAAAAAAAAAAAAAAAAAAAAAAAAATCAATAAAATATGAACAAACAAACAAACAAAAGAGGTGAGGACGCCCAGGCCCAGCTGCCTGTCTCTGGCTGAGTCTGGAGTGGGGAAGCCAGAGGAGGAGGGGGCAGATAAAAGCCACGATAAAATGAGGCCTCGCCCTTGGGCAGTTGCAGGGCCACAGAGGGAGGAGGAGGAGACATTGGACTAACCCGCACCCTTTCTGTTCCCCAGTCTTTCACGCGCCTGACGGAGCTGGTGCTGCAGGCCCACAGGAAGGAGCTGGATGGCGTCCGGACGCGAGCCAGCAAAGAGCTGGCTTTGGCAGAGCTCGAGGAGGATGAGAGCAAACCTGAGGGCCCAGGGAACTCTTCCAAAACCTGCTGGTGCTGAGGGCCCTGCGTGGAGCACCCACAAACCTCCCCTCCCCTCAGGAGGCCTGTGGCACAGACAGGGAGTCCGGGCTTTGCCCTGCTTCTCCTCTCACCTGGGTGACCCCGTGGAACATCAGTCGCTGCTACTCCCCCAGCCTGGCCTTGAGGGTCACCTCTGAGCAGCCCCAGCCCCTCCCCCGGAGTGGAACGCTTCAGCCCCGATTCCTGCCGCAGCCTGCTACGAGCCCTGAGGTGCTGCAGCACGCTCACCCCGAGCTCCCCAGACAGCGGCGTCAGGAGCCCAGGCCACTTCAAGGCTCCTCCTCAGTGCGTTTTGTCTCCTGTCCGTTTTTCTCTCTCCTTCCCCCTTCTCTCTCTGTCCCCCCATGCCCTGAGCCCTGATGCAGCTCCTTTCTTTCCTCTCTTCCTAAGCCTGTCCAAGGGGATGGACTGCAGCTCCTGGGATGTTCCTTCTCTGCTTCTGGGAGAACTCCCGCCTGTTTTGTGGGGGGGAGGGGGGGCCAACAGTGGGTGCTTCTTCCCACCTCCCCTCCCCACGTCCTTCTTGTGCCCCGGCCCTCACCGCTGGCCTGGGGAAGTGAACCGTCAGGTGGAAAGGACTGGGGCCCTCATCCTGGGGCTGCCCTACCTCTCCCAGCTTTGGCCTTGCTTGGCTGCCTGCCCACCAGCCTCTTGGGGAACTGAGCTCAGAGGCAGGTGCTTCAGAGGAGAAGATAAACGGCGAGGAGTGGCAAGGATAAGACGTCACCTCCATTCTCTACCTCCCGCGCTGCACGTACCTAATTCCTCCCTTCTGGGCTCCCGGATTAAAGACCTGATCCAAAGCCTGCGGGCACTGGAGGGGCAAGGAGAGGCCGGGGCAGTGATTGACAAGCTAGCCAAGGACTCCAGAAAGAGGAGCCTTTGCAGTTGAAGGACTAGTTCCTATAGATCAGGTTACAAGCAAGGGAGAGCAGGCCAGGGAGGGCAGTTTGCAAGCCAAAGGGGGCTATGGACTCCCTGGGCCCTTCCGGTTCTTATATGTGAGAAGAGCATTTCCCACCACCCCCTCGCAGGTGAGAGGTGGGCCTTCACAGATCCAGCCTGCAGCTCAAGGCTTTCAGAGACCCGGAGTTGGTGGGAGAGGAGCGGGACTTCCTGGGAAGAAGGGAGGCAGCCCTGAGGAAATGCTCGGTGCTGTTTTCTCCCTTCTTCCAGACAAAGGGCTCATCTGCCCCTCTGACTCCTGATAGCAAGGCTTGAGGTTTGCCAGCTGCACGGAGGCTGCAGGTGGAGGGAACAGGACTCTTGCAGGGCTCTTTGTTCAGGAAGATGGTTCTTAACCTCATAGGGCCTCAGAGTATCCCAAAGAAGGCCCTGTAAGGAAGGGACAGGCCAGTGACCAGCCCTGCCCCCCTTCCACAGGAGGACCAGCCTTCAGCTACATATTAGCTGCATTGCTTGGCTGGGCCTGGAGCTAAAAGGAACAACTGGGCGTTGAACATTCACCAACTAAGGCCCAAACCCAGGGCACATCCACGGGAAGGACTAAGAGCCCCACTTCCTTACCCCAAAATGGGGTTTGGGCATGAAATCACCACCCCTTTCTTCCAGGCTTGTCAGGCCAGGAGACCGCAGGCGAGGGGGACTCCGGATGCAGGGAGGGGACAGGTTAGCAGAGTGGAAGGGGAGGAGGGCAGGCGCAATTAGTCAGTGGCTAGTGAAGAAGATAGAGAGCCGGCCAGGGGTGCTTCCTGAGGGCTGGCTCCTCGGATGGCAGGACACAAGCAGCATCACCTGGGGGTGGGAGGGCGGTCACGGCGGCCTTCAGAGTCAGCTCTCAAAGTGCCCTCAGCCCAGACTTCAGAGAGGGGAGGTCCTATTGGTCCAAGAGGGTGGGGGGCGGGCAGTATTGCAGATCTCCCTGCAGACAGGCTGAGCACCTCTGCCTTTCTCTCTCTCACCCCTCAGGACACAGGACTGTTTTAACTGCCCCAGGGGTTCTGGGAGGCGAAGCAAAGAGGGGAGCTTCTAGGGCTGACTAGCCCCCAGCTGGGGGAGGGGTGGGACCCGGGGGACGTTGGGATGTCGGGGTGCATCACATTCATCAGGTTCCAGAGGTGGCCTCCTGCCCCTAAACTTCTCCAATCCAGGAGGTGACCTGGGGCCTGGCATTAGGCCCAGACTGTTGAGCGGGCACTCCTGCCTGCGTACACCTCCCACGTCTGCACCTGCTGTCCTGAGACCCGGCCCCCACCTGCTCCTGATCCCTCACCTCCCCATGACGGGTGAACTTTGTGTGCTGTGTCTCGGGTCCAGTATATGAATTGTGAGCCGGGGGTTATCTATTTTAAACTCAGATGTTTACAAAATAAAGACTCTTTCAAACCACAGGTGTGGATGCCTGTATGAGCTCCTGGGAACAGGTCTCGCTCGGACCCTGGCAGTGAAGGGGAGAGGCAAGGCTGGTGGGAGAGGCTTCCAGAATCCTAAAGCAATGGCAGGAGAAGGACGATGGGAGTGGCCAGCATCTTCCACGCTGTGCCTTTCCTGCTGCCACCTGCAGGGGAGCCCCGAGCGAAGCCCCCGTTGCTGAGCGATGGGCTTCTCCTGCGGAAGTAAGACCGCACAGAATCACTGAGGGCGTCTTTAAAGCCAAGGAGGTTCTCAGCGGCCAGGTGAGAACAGGCTTTCCCGAAGAAATGAGGAGGGGCGAAGTCATCTTTCAGAAGTTCATCCTAGCCTTCTGACTGAATACTCCAGGGAGCACGGCAGGTTGGGATCCTGGAGGTCTGGGTGGCGGCGGCTGTTGAATACTATACTTTGGGGTACAGGGTTGATGGAGAAGGCAGAGAATGGGGGTAAGGGTCAACGGAAGAAGGAAGGAGTAAAACAAGGCAGGGCAAGAGTCTAAGATCTTACCCTGCACTTTCCAGTTTAGAGAGTGCTTGTTATACTTGTTTCCCTCAATCCACACCTTTCGTATCTGCTGAGATAAGCTGGGTGATTTTTCTGGTTCAACAGATAAGGAAACAGGTGTCTAGGGGCCCCGAGTAACAGTGGCAGAGTCATGGCTAGAGGCAACGGAACCGAAATCTCTGGAGGGGAAAGCTTTATCCTCTATTTAGAAAAATCTTTATAAGCAATTCTCCTTTGCAGCCAGAGTTGAGAACCACTGATAAGCGTTCTGCCTGCTGAGCCAGTGCAGTTACCAGAATCCCTACCGTCCCTGTGGGAAGCTGTGGGAATCACACACTCAGGGCATGTCACAAGTTACCAGCTTCTGCAAAGTGGGCTGGTTTGAGGTGAAGTTGGACAAAGGAATTTCAGGAGAGCCTTATCGACATGATTCAGTTGTGAAAGTTAAGAACCTGGGTGACTTAATGGCTGTACCTAGAGGGAAAAAATGGCCTGTACCTGAGGGAGAGGGAATCCCCCACTCCTCAGCTCAGGAACTTCTGGGACCTTCCTGGAGAGAGATCACAGAAGGGCAGCCATAGGAGGTGTTGGGAAGCCAGAGAAGCTCTCGGCAAGCACGCAAATCTGCCAAGTCCATGTTAAAGTTTAGCCCACTGTCAAGGCCAAGTCCTTCTGACTCGGTGGCTTGGTAGAGACATTTATGGACTGCTTCTGGGAACTCTGCCCAGCCTTTCCTGCTAACTCTTCTGCTGGCCAGATTCCATTCCCACTGAGGTCATGGAGGCTTGTCCTTAGGGAGCAGCCCGTTGAGACATGTAGGTTCCCACGTGCTGTGAGCGGCCATGGGTCAGGCTACAAAAGACCCACAAGCCGGGCACCCTCTGCGGAGTAATTCTCCATCTTCGCAGATCAGATTCTCAGGCCTGGCTGCTGCCAGCCTCGCGGGTTTGTCCTAGGAGACAGTTCCCAGTGGGCCTGTCCCAGTGAAAACTGCCTCTAGTAAACAGTTGCTTTGTTATTGAAATCTCTCCCTAAACTCCCAAAGCCAGGTGAAGACTAATTGCCAGGTTTACCGTGGGAGAAGTCCAGGCATTAAAAAAGCAGGTGATTTGCTGAGTTGGTAGGTGCTTGGGGGGAATGAAGTGGAGCGTTCGGTGTTTCTGATTCCTGTGGGCTTCCAGGTGTGTGCTCACACCGTGACAAGCCGCACCAGGTCCCCAGGGGGCTTGCAGTACCCTACATCAGTGTGTCCCAAACTTCTCTCAGGATGAGAATCACCCGGTGGAATTGTTAACATACAGATTCCTGAATCCCAACTAAGAAGTGCTAAACTAGAATTTTTGGGAGCATATAGGTAAAATTGTATACTTAACTTAGTGCTCTGGTTTAGAGCACTTTTTACCTATATGTTCCCCCCCAAAAAGAACTTTTTACCTATATGTTCCCAAAAATTCTAGTTTAGCACTTCTTAGTTGGGATTCAGGAATCTGTAGTTTAACAAACTCCACCAGGTGATTCTCATCCTGAGAGAAGTTTGGGAAACACTGCCCTACATGGCTTGTGCTGAAAATGTCATGGGTGATAGATCTTCCCTTCCCTCAGTTGATGGACAGACATAAACCCCACCTGCGGCCAGACATTCCTGAGCTCTGAACCACCAATCAGCACCTGCCAAATACCCTAAGCCCCTCATTCTTAAATCCCTAGGTCCCTAATCAATCAGCACATGCTGAGTGCCCTAAGCCCCGCCCTCTATCCTCAAAGGTGCTTGTAAGCCCCTCGCCCGCTCTCTTCCACTCCTCTCTGTGGAAGCAGCAGGCAGGGGTACCCTTCCCTCCAACAAAGCCTGTGTCCTGCCACCCAGTCTCCAGTCTAGAATCACAGCAGCTTGACTCCCTGCTGACTTCCCTTCGGGTGGGGTGGGACCAGCACCGCCTTCCAGAAAGTCTTTGGGACTGAGCCTTGGTCTGAGAAGAGATGGTATAGCTCATCCCCTCTGAGTGTCCCCACCAGCGATGCACCTCCTGCTACCCTTACCAGGCCAGCTGACTGCATCTTCACAACCCCGTGGGAGCAGGGTGTGGGGTGAAGAAAGAGTAA